TGTGTGTGGGGGAGGGGGTCATAGTGTTTGAGCCTCTTTGGGTCCACTTGTCTGTTTCTCATCTCCCAGCAGAATGGCCCTGGGTCTGTCTTAGGAGGCACCCCTTTCCTAAAGGGTGTCCCGATGCCCCATCCCTCCAGGGTCCTCCAACTCCAAATGGCAGGTTCTCCTGATGGCCCACTTTCCTCTCTCCTGCTGCTTGTCCTTCCACCATGTTCCCAGAGGAAGGTGAGGGGTGCGGCTTCCTCTGTATGGGAAATCTCTTCCCAGACGAGATGCCCTCAGTCTATCCTCAGAAGGGTTATGCCTCCCATCTTCCAGATGCCATTCCTGTTTGACCCCTTTTTACTGCTCTCGTTCATGTCTCTGCTAAATGCTGGGTAAAATGAGCCTTACATAAACGCCCAGTTCTGTGTCCCTCTCTTCTCTGGAATGGGCAGGGGTCTGTGGGCTGGTGGAAACTGGGCTGTCCCATAGGAAGGATTCTGTGCCTTACCCATTACCTGCATTGATACCGCCGAGACAGACGGCCAAAGAGCTTACTACAGCCGACACAGCATCCAGGGGCCACAGAAGAGAGATGCTGGACCTTCTGCCATAGGTTATCCTTCTCTCTGATGAGAGGATGGAGGTGGTAAAAAAAACGGGCCCCACCCAGCCACAAGCCAGTACAGTACTGGGTTCTCTCCCTGTCCCTGGCCTGGCGCCTCTTTGTTCCAAGCTCTGCTATATATATAATATAGAGAGGGAGGGAGAGAGGGAGGGAGGAAAGAAATATGGAAATGGCATGGATGAAGAAAGAAAATGGCATGGATGGAGAGAGAGAGGGACAGAAAGAGAAACATGGAGGCAGAGAGAGAGACAGAGAAAGTGACAGGAGGAGTCACACGCAGAAATGCAGAGGGAGGCAAAGAGGGATAGAAAGAGAGAGACAGTTACTTATGCAGAGAGAAAGGAAGTCAGGAGTTGGAGAGGGAGACAGAGACACAGAGAGGTAGAGAGATAAATGTGGGAGAAAAAGACACAGGGAGAAAGGTGCAGAGACAGATGGGCAGAGACACAGACAGAGAGGGAGATACAAATATGGAGAAAGATGGAGAGACAGAGACACAGTGATGGAGAAAGAGATAGAAATGCAGAGACAGTGACACACACACACACACACACACACACACACACACACACACACACACGAGAGATGGGTGAGTATCCATTCTTTCTGGGAAGATGGATAATGACACCCAGGTCCCCCTCGCCCAACATGAGCTTGACCACTATTTAAGAACCTGTTCATAGCCCACCTGCTCTCGAGAGAGCTCCCTGATGGTAGAGGCCCCTGGGGCTTTCTTGCTCCAGGCACCTATAGCATACAATGCCTATTATGTTTTTTTCGGCACTTAGTACAAACTGCCTTGGAGTTATGTATAGTTAGGCCCCTACAAAACCATCTTCACTGTTTTTTTTAAAGGAGATTTAGGAAGGTGGTTTGTTTTAAATTTTTATCAAAATGATACATACCCATGATTTAAAAATTGAATGATACAAGAGGAAATACATCAAAAGACAATGGACACCCT